CACGTGGAATGAGGGAATTTCGCAGTTGACTCATTATTCCACCACATTACCGGGCTGCAAAACAAGGTGATTACCTGAGCATAGCAGGGGAGACAATTTATTTTTGTTTTGCTTTTCCTCAACCTCTGCCCTCCCCGTCGGGATTCTCCCTCGTACATCGCGCTCTGCGCTATCACTGGCAGAGCATGAGCTGCGCTGTGCCTTAGATTTCGTGCTTAATAACAATTAACACATATTTTCATCTTTGAAAGGAGAAAGCACTGACCGATGAAAAGATAAAAGGGATAGAATACTAGTAGTCCTTCTTTCGCTTAGTCCGGCGTGCGTGACGTGAAATAAAATCGCTAGAGGCGCTTCTTATCCCCAGGATTTGGCGCGGCCTTTTTTTCCACGCGTTTTTCTTTAGCGTCACGCACGGCGGAGTAAGCGGAAGAATGGTACAATCTTTTATAAATAAGAATACACTTTTTTTCCGGTCGAGGCTGAATATTCTTACTTTTCTGCCGATTTTAGACTGAAACATTCATTTGAATATTATTAGATTGTAGCATATGACATTCCTGCTTTCGAATGTATGCCAGGCGTAGTCAATCGATAAAAATCGATATTGGAAATCAATCGTTTTGATTGATGTCAATCGCCTATTGCTATCGTTTGATATCGGCAATCGATAACTCACGCAAAAATTTCTTTATTGATTGCTATCGATTGCCAAAAGTCGATAACAATGGATAATTTCTGTCTTCAGGAATATCGCTTTTTATCGATTTAAAAAAACGACAAAAACCACCCGGATTATTAAAGGATAATAATGATACTCAGAGATAATGGGTGGAAAAGTTTTTCAATACCAATTTATATACGAGATTTCTGTGAGAGCCTTTATGTCTGTTGTAAATAACTAATGATTGAGAGTTAAGTAAAACCAGATCAATATCAGTGTGCTAAGCTTCGTGTCTACCCCGGGGCGGTACTCCCTTATATAGGCTATATATGTATATGTTTCTTAGAAGAAGCTACTTTTTCATCATTATCAATAAGACCGTCAACAAAAGCCCTCCATAACTTATGTTTAGGGCAACTGTGTCAGCCGCAACGGTCATAAATACGCTATCGAATTTTTGGTCAGGTCATAAATAGGGCAGCAAAAAAAGCAGATTTTGGTCATACACGGGGTAAAGGTTTTAGGAAGT